AAATATCAGGCCCTGATCTCTGATGGTCTAGGGCTTATATGAGATAAGCAAGCAGGAAGTACAGAGGCAGATGGTTGTCAACTGGGGACTGCTTTATACAATGTGCATCACAGTGACCAGCTGTTTCTAAGAGACAAAAGCAACCGGAACTGGAACAGGAACTATTACCTGGGCAACTAACAAACTGAAGTATACTGCCGGGGTGGGGGTGGAAGCATTTTCTCTTACAGTAGCATATACAAAACAGAATACAAGCTCTTGCCTGCAAAAGTAAAATATCCTATCAAAGAAACATCATAATCTTCCCATGTCCTCCAATGTATCATCATTTTAACAACAACAAAATGCATAAGAAAGACAAGGCATAAAAATTGAAGGCGTAAGCAACTGACAAACAAGGACGATAATTTCTGATTACCTGAAGAAGGCACAATCCAGAATCCAGGAAACACAAGCAAACTCTTACCGCCTTCCAATTATCTTGGTGGAACCTCCACATGATATGGGGGAAATAAATGTAACTCCCGACCTGCTAGACCTCAGATATGCTGAGTTTGTGGTCCCCAAACCAAAGAAGGAATTCTAAGGAGCAACAGAGGTAAGGGTAGGGAATATTTATTGAGAGAGCTAGCTCCTGAGAGGCAGGAGGGGACCTGAAAAATGGATTGCTGTAGACCCCACTCTACAGAGGAAGTTTATAGAACAAAATCACAAGGTGGGTACAAAAATCATGAGGAGAGGGAAAAAAAACCATGAAGAGTATAGTTTGGGACAAAATTATGATCAACCAATAAGATTACAAGTTTAGCCACTTAGGTGCTATTGATCCAATGGGGAAGCAGGTCGTGTAGCAACTGTACATGAAAAGAACAAGGACCTTTTAAGGAAGAGAAGAATCAGGGGGTCTTGGTCACCCACTGGGGTGACTGATGTTAATTTATTATCTCTCGGGGAGGCGTGCGGGCCTGGTCATTTTGTCTTTAGCTTGAGGCCTGGCCTCCAGCAGAAGTGCCCTTGGGCACAGTTGTAATGCGTTTTCACCCTCTGTGCTGACTCCCCCAAGGGCCTAGCCCTGTCTCACTGCCTATAATATTTTCACCTAGCTTAGCTGTCCCTAATAGCTGGACCCTCCAGGCCCTCAGCCCTCCCAGGACTCCCCCGCCTTCCCCCGACCGAGATGAGTAAGTTTCTCCCCAGTGACTGGAAGAGGCCTGTTTTATTCAGCCACCCTGGTTTGTCCTGCTTTTCTGTTCCTGAGAGCTGGGACTTGGCTTCTGATTTAAAACAGGAGGCTTTGCAGCTGGGGAATGGCAAGATGAGACCTGCTTTTGTTGGAAATAGAGCTGGGTGGATTCAGAGTAGGGAGGAGGCTGCAGCAGCAGCTCAGGTGAGTGAAAATAAGTCTCAGCTGAGCAGCAGGGATGGCCCTGAAATATGTCAGAGAGGGTCCCCGAGGTTGCCACAGCCCTGTGGAGATAGGAGAGGGAGGCCTGTGAGCCTGGGAGAGGGGAGACTAGGGGGAAGGTGAGGAAAGTGGGTGGGGCATTGCCTGTGGGAGGAGCCAATGGAGAATGTTTATTGGATGAAAGTCCTACCAGGAGCCATAGGCATGGAGTGCTCACAGGTCCAGCAGGGGCCCTGAGAATGTGGCCAGTCTGGCCACAGCAGGTTAAACTGCCTCTGGGGTGTGTCCTGCCCCTGGCTTTCTGCAGTGGTGCAGCTTGGCTCCTTGGGAGATGATTTATTTATTTACTTGGTTTTTTCTGGTACCGGGAATTTTTTCTGGTACCGGGAATTGAACTCACGACCTTGTGTTTGTCAGACAGGCACTGTGCCCCTGAGCTAAATCCCCAGGTCCTTGGGAGATGATTAATGCAGACCTTGCTTTGCTCTTTTTTTTGTTTGTTTGTTTTTGTTTTTCTTCCGGTACCAGGAATTGAACTCACGACCTTGTGCTTGCCAGGCAGGCGCTGTGCCGCTGAGCTAAATCCCCAGCCTGCTTTGCTCTTGATTTAGCACCTTGGTCAGGGTCTTTTGTGCTGTTGCTCTGGCTCAGGGATGGCTGGGCAGGGGAACTGCTGTTGGCCAGGTGGGTGAGGAGGGGACATCAGGAAGATGAGTTTGGGGAGTTGGCCAGCTGAACCCAGCCCTCACCCAGGCTTCCAGAGTGTCTGCTGCTGGCCTGAGAGCAGAAGGCAGCCTGCCAGGCCTAGAGGGCACTGCTCTTTCAAGGCCTTGGCATTCAAGCCCATGTTTCTTTCCTTTTTTTTTTTTTTTGTAACAGGGTCTCACTTTGTAGTTCAGGTTGGCCTTGAACTCATTATGTAGCCCAGGCTAGCCTCCAACCTGAGACAGTCCTGCTGCCTCAGCCTCCTGGGTCCTGGGATTACAGGTGTGGGCCACCATACCCAGCTGTGGGCCAGGTTTTTGCTCATGCCTTTTGCCCCATCTCTCCCGGAACCCACAGCCCTGGAGGAAACCTTTTCTGGTAGCAAGAGCCCCCACCCAGGGCTGGGGATGCTTCGAAATGGGAGAGCACTTGCCCAGCATTGGTGAGGCCCTCGCTTGGCTCTCCAGCACCCCAGCACCGCTAGGAGCACCTCAAAGAACAAAGGCATTCTGGGCCTTTTAGTGTCTTGTTAGGATTGTGAGATAAAATAGTTACATTTGAATTTGAGGCATTCATTTTTCTAGTATAAGCATCTTCCATGCAATATCTGGGATATACTCAGGCCGAAACGTACTATGGTTGGGGCTGATGGGAGCACTACCTTCGTGCAGTCCCTGCTTAGCAGGCAGGAAGCCCTGGGTTCAGGCCCCAGCACTGGAATAAAAAAAGTTGCCTATGGGAAGTTCAAACTGAATGGTCATACTGTATTTTTATCTGTACACCTGGCAGTCTTGCCAGGTCCCCCAGCCTATTCCAGACAGCCGCTTCAGCACGGGGAACTCACTAAAGTCCTTTAGAACTTTACTTTCATTAGCTCCCCACGCGGCCACAATGACACTTTATAAACTTTTTTTTTTTTCCCCAGTACTGGGATTCCCAGGGCCTTTGCATTGAGCTACATCCCCAGACCTTTTTTTAATTTTTTAATTGCTTTTTACTTTCTGAGACCAGTCTTTCCAAATTGTTGGGCTTGAAGGTGCAGTCCTCCTGACTCAGCCTCCAGGAATGCTGGGGTTACAGGTTTGTTCCACTGTGTCAGGCACCAGAGCGTTCATTCCCCTTTCACAGGCAGGAAAACTAAGGCGCCAAGCCACTTCCTCAGGGCAAATAATAACCACGGCGCAGGACACAGGGCCAGCCTCTGCCAGCCGGACTCCAAAGTTCAAGCTCAGCACCCCGGGCTGGCTCTGAGCAGGAAGGCCAGAGCAGTGGCTTCCACCCTGGGTCACACAGGAGGGGGAAACGGCAAAGCGGGCTGAGGCCTCCGGTGCGAGCCCGCAGGATTTGGGGCTAGAATATTCAAAGTGATTTTGAAAGCGAGCTCCTCTTAGTAATAACAATACCGATCTCAGTCATTTGCATAACTCTCTCGAGCTGACAAAGGCTGCCCACAGCAGTAATTAGAATGACAAAGAAAGCAGATGGGGACAGGGGCCTGGAGGAGCCCTCTGCCGGCCCTGGGACGTTTCCTGCGCTCTCGCCTGGCGCGGGTGGGTGTGGGGAGGCCTTGCCGGGCCCACTTACAGGGACGCCTGGTTAGCGATCTGA